GGGGGAGACTCGCCCCCCCCCCCCAGACAGACAGTTCCAATGTAGGATGGCAAGTGCCGGAACAAAAGCGTACTTCCCCGTGCTGGAGGGAGGGCCAGGTAGCCTTCAGCCATAGGCATGGTTGGAAGCCCGCTGCCGCCAGGCAGTGGCCAGCCTTCCTTCATCCTCCCCCTCCCCAAGCAGCTGCCCCGGGGGCCATCCAGGGTATGTGGGGAGTGTTCAGGTGGTCGCATCAGGGCCTGAGAGGCTGAGGGCAGCCGTGGGGGCATTCAGGAGGTGTCACATACAGGAGGACATGCGCAGTCCCATTGAGCATTAGAACCTACTGGGAGCTTTTTCTGAATTACACGCCACATCCCATGGAAAGCAGCCCAGGGGCAGGAGCCCAGGGGCTTGTGTTTTAAAGGTTCCCCAGGCTGTGAGAAGCACTGCAGTGCAGACCCTATGTCAGGGAAAGCTGTGGTTGGCAAGGATCCTGGTGACCACGGGTGACGGTGTCTCTCTGCAGATTTTGTCTGCGGAAAGGGGAAGTGTGCTAAGCAAGGTCCACCAGGAGCCCAGGAGACACATTTTGGAGGTAGAGTACTTCAGTAATCCTTTTTTTCTCTCTCTGACCAACATGCAGTTCCAGGGGATAGGGTTGTCCATCTGACACCATATACCTAGTGCACCTGTAGCCAACAGAGCAGGTAGAGTGGAACCCACAGATTCAGGCTTGATCCTACGGTAGAAGGAAGTAGGGTACAACCTGAGACGTAAGGGCCAGCAGGAAGGTGGAAAGTCACTCCTAGGGGTCTGAAAGACAGCAAGGGCTGGAATCATAGGAGCCAACTTTTCACAAAGCTGACCCCTGGGCTCAGATGATTGGTGAACTAAAAGGGCCACAGTGTGGCTGGTTAGGTAGTAGGAAGGTGAGAAGGACGGGGGCAGGGTGGTGATTCCCAGCTTGGTGGGGCCTTTGGAGCTGGGTCAGCCCCTGGGGGAGTGCAGGCCATCCCCACCCAGGTGGTCTCTGTGCCAGAGGTATAGGAACCAAGGTGCTGGGTGTGGGAGGGAGAAAGGAAGGAAGCCCGTTTTGCGGGCCAGCTACCTCGCTTCCTGGTGTTGCTGAGTCCTGGTGCAGTGAAGAGGGTGGGAAGAGGAATGAATAGGGGAGTCCCCTTTGCCGACCTTCAGGAGACTTCATGTTTGTGATCTTTGTCGTTATTTCAGATGATAAACTTGGAAATCTCGAAGAAGCAAATCCATTCTCCTTCAAAGAGTTTCTGAAAACCAAGAACCTCAGCCTGTTGAAAGAGGACACAGCCAACAGCAGGCTGCTTTCAAAGGTAACCCTCGGGTCACTTGCCGTGACGTGCGGACCCCCGAGCTGGTCGTCTCCGACGTGTAGCGTTCCTCGCAGGAGGCTGTGCAGGTGGTGTGGGGAGAGCGGGGCGGCTGAGGATGCCGTGGGGAAGCTGTGTGGGCCCCCCTGGCTCGCACCCTCCCTGGTGGGCAGGCGGAGCTTCTGTGTCCCGGCCTCGAGCATCAGGAAGAGAGGCCAGCCGTGGCTTTCGGGCCTGAGCCGTGCCTTCTGCTGTGTCCTTTAGGAAGCCACAAGGTACTCACTGGGACTCAACTGCAGCTCGGCGGCCTCCCAGCCCGTGGGCTTTGGCCTGGAATACCAGCAGCCGTTCTTTGAAGACCCGACGGGGGCGGGTGACCTCCTGGACGAGGATGAGGACGAGGACGGGTGGGACGGGGCCTACCTGCCGTCCGCCGTGGAGCAGGCCCGTTCCCCGGGAGCCTCGGCCAGCACGTCGCCCTGCAGCACGTACATCTCCTTCTTCTCCAGCCCGCCGGAGCTGGCGAGGCCCGAGGCCCTGCCCCCCTGGACTCTGAGTGACTCCGACTCTCGAGTCTCTCCGGCGGCCAGCCCCAGCGCAGACTTTGCAGCCCACGGAGAGTCCCTGGGGGACAGGCACCTTCGGACGCTGCAGATAAGTTACGAAGCAGTAAGTGAGGGGGCTGTGCGTCAGCACCCTGGCAAATGACCCGTGTCTGAGCAGCATTCTTAGAGAAAACCCGGAGCCTTCTGGTGTCCCGGTGGTCTGGGGATGGTTCCAGGACAAGGCGTCCTGGCGCAGCAGTGTGCTCCAGTGTCTCCACGCCGAGCACTTCCCTGTGCGGGCAGGTGACGTGTGAATATGGCCGACTGAGGGGCAGTCAGGGGCGACCTGTGTAGGAACGGACCGGAACAAAGTGAGACCCCCAGAGGGCTGCCCCACAGAAAGGGTCCGCTTCAGCATGCTCGGAGTAGAAATTTTTTAAAATGTTACAATGCCCTAAAAACAAGTTATGTAAGTAAAGTTGGAGTTTGACCACAGGCCCTAAGTTGATGCCTTTACTCGTGGTTCCTCTGCAGGTGGCCTGTGGGTTGACTCGAGAATACTCCTGTTTAACAAGATGTTCCAGAGTCAAATTGCAGAAGTGCAGACCCTTCTTGAGGGAGACACACTGAGTTTCTAATGAGGAATTTTTTTTCTCTGCAGCTGAAAGATGAGAATTCTAAGCTAAGAAGAAAGCTGACTGAAGTGCAGAGCTTCTCTGAGACGCAAACCGAAATGTAAGCCTTTAGTTAGGGCTGCCCTTCAGAACATAGGACACCAAGTCATTTCCAAAATGGGAATGCCATGGTCAGGCTTAGGCAGAGTCTGGGCTTTGTTCTGTGTCAACCCTCAGCATCAGACAAGTTTCTCATGTTGTGTCAAAGTGTATTTTAAACATTGGCCTGAGTCCGCCATGTTGAGGACAGAGCGGCCGACTGTCAGGCCCGCCAGGGGGACCGTGGTTGGCGCTTACCCCGACCGGCTGAGGCGGTCGCCCGTGCTGTGCCTCACTCACACTGCTCATTCTGAAACAGTGGGTGCTTGTGGTCTTTATTGAATCGATCCAGTTTTAGTGCCTTTTAGAAGTACTCCCGGAGTCAGCTGCGTGAGTTATTAGTGACATGGGTGTGTTCTTTAACAAGGGTGAGGACACTTGAGCGGAAATTAGAAGCAAAAATGATCAAGGAAGAGAGCGACTACCACGACCTGGAATCCGTGGTACAGCAGGTGGAGCAGAACCTGGAGCTGATGACCGTAAGACCGGGTGGCACCAGTCGGGGGAGGGGGTCATTGTGAAGCGTTGGGCGTGTCACTCTTAAGGTGGACCAGAGCTCTGGCCCGGTTGGTCCCAGAAGCCAGCAATGAGCACGGGGCAGAGCTTCTGTGAGAGGAGGGTCCCTCACGATGGCTGTGTGACTGTAGGTGGGCCTGCCTGTTAGCGGGAGCTGGCCAGGGGCACCGGGTGAGGGCTCAGGTGTCCACATTGCCACGTCAGTGATGCTTTTGTGTTTTTGGGGGGGTTTTTTTGGCGACAGAAACGTGCAGTGAAGGCAGAAAATCATGTCACGAAACTGAAACAAGACATAAGCTTGCTGCAGGTAATTGGACAGTCTCAAGTTTCATGTCTTTGTGAATACAAGTGACTCGGGAAAAGACACCAAAGAGCCTCTGATGGGCTCTTACCTCCCTGATGGACAGGCAGTGTGAGCTCCTCGGGCACAGGTGAAGGTGACAGCTCAGTCCCCAAGGGCCATGGCCACTCTGGGCCATGTGCATTCTTGTACAAATCTCTTAGTCCCGTGGGTTAGTGCCGAGAACTGGCTCGAAGTTGAGGGGAGGTGTTAGGAGCCCCCCCAGTTAGGAAAGAGCCCTATTGTCAAGGCTGGGCCCCATCCTCTTCCAAGGTGCCCTGTTAGCTTTAGGTGGGCAGCTCGTGGATGCTCACTGTTCACTATAAAACTCTTTAACGGCCGCTTACCCTCCCCCAGGCACAGGTCTCAAACTTCAAGCGTGAGAATGAGGCCCTGCGCATGGGCCAGGGTGCCAGCCTGACGGTGGTGAAGCAGAACACTGACGTGGCCCTGCAGAACCTCCGTGTGGTCATGAACAGCGCCCACACCTCCATAAAGTGAGCAGCGGTCACCAAGGGGAGTGGGAATGGCGGGGCACTTGCACAGTGTTGAAGACCATGAGCGCACTGGCTGCCGCCCACAGTGGCAGTGCTCAGGACAGGGCTGCTTGATGGTCCTGTTAACCCCGAGGTCATGGGGCGTAGAGGGCCAGCAGGCTCTAACCTGTGCAGTGATGGCTATTTTCACCTGACAGGCATGGGTGTTAAAGCGAATCCCATCCCATCCTCCTCATCCCCCACAAACTGGCTCCTCAGAGGCCCCTACAGGCTGCCTGAGCAGTGAGAGCTCCTGGGAGACAGCAGTGGTGTCATAAACAGTCCTCACATTGCCTCCCATTGGCTGGGTGCTGAGGGCACCTGTGTGAGCGCCCGAGTTGCTTCAATGAGGGCCTCTGCAGGGTGGGGCCAAGACCTCAGGTCCCTCCACTCAGCTCTCTCCACCGTCTGCTCGGTCCCTCGTTCTGTTGAACAGTGTGGTAGCAGTTCGTGGTATCCGTGTTTTCATTTTAGGCAGCTGGTTTCTGGAGCCGAAACGCTGAACCTGGTTGCTGAAATCCTCAAGTCCATAGACAGAATTTCTGAGATTAGAGAGGACGAGGAGGAAGAGCCCTGAGACGTCCACTGGCAGCTCTGTTTACATTCTGAAATCACTACCTGATTTAAAATGCCATTGTGTCTTTAAATATGCAGTCTTCACAGTAAAAATATTTATCATGAGATACTAATTTCATGACCTAGAACAGTATTATTAGCCAACCGCAACGAGGAGCAGCTCTAGTGAGTCGCACCTCAGGTTTCTATTCTATGCAGCCCTTCCTTGGTGAACTTCCTGCTGTTAGAGACTATGAGCTACTGGAAGACACGTTTATAAAAGCCACCAATTTTTTTAATTTACTGAACATGAACACAGCAGTTCTGTGATTGTCTTCCACTATTCCAGAACATTCATTCTAAGATAAGTTTAATCGATTGTCCTTGATTTCACAAGTAAAGAAAAACACTAAATGAGCCGACATCCAGATGATTGCCTTGGACAGGGCCCTGTGCCTTTTTGCCATTGTTCAGTGCCCCCTCTGGCTCAGTCCACTCCTGCAGCTTTCACAGGGGTGGTTCTTGGGATTGGTGGCCTGAGTGGGGACACCCCACGTGATGGACACTATCCTCTGGCAGGTACCAAGGTTGGCACGATTCTACACTGTGAAGCGTGGAAACATACCTCTTTAGGGGCCTTCAGGTTTGAAAAGATGTTTTTGATGGAGGGTTTTGATTCATGTTCCTAGTGGCCTTTTGTATAATGAAGTCTGGAATTCAGGAATTCAGAGGACGTGCAGAGCCTTCCCGGTTAGCACGAGTCTCCCAGACTGCCTTTGCAGCAGCTTTCTGACATAGGGAGGCTTAACATGCACTCTGTGCCTTTTTGGCTGTTTTCCTGTAGATGTTATTTTTTAAAATACATTTTCCCTCCTGTTCAAATGGACAACTTTCTTAATAAATTCTAAAATGCACATACTTTGTCCTTTTTTTCTGACTTATCCAGTTCTTTATGCTTGAGAATCAGATTGACTGCCCTCTACGCCAGGGCACGCATCTGGTCCTTGTCTTACGGGGTGATTTATGCAGAAGCCTGCCTGTAGGGTCCAGGGTAGCGCAGACCTCTGCTGCCTACCTGGCATGTTTGGAGGTGGATAGATTAGATTCTAGAATTAGAACATTCTTGGAGATCATGTGGTTGAATTTTCAAAAGGTGATAAACTGCTAGACCTTCTGATCTTGGCTACTCGGAAGAGCATTCCAGAAATCACCATTGAACTGTCCTTCAGCTCATCCTCTAACTTCAGACATCGTGCTAGAAGGAGGTTCTCTTCTGGGTGTACACACAGGAGCTCTGGGAAACCTGTAAAGGCTGGGCTGGACTACCATGGGGAGGCTGCTTGCTGCCTCCGGCAGGGCATGTGGAAGGAGCAGAGCTTTTTACCAGGAGCTGGGGGATATACTGCAGATCGCCTGCCCCTGCTCTTCAGCCCCCTCGGAATGCTGCGGTGGAACAGGGTGGGTGGGATAGATACAGACCTATACAACCCTCAACTTTAATATAAAGTGTTCACCCAGTAAAAGCCTTGAACATACAAGTCAGGCTAACATTGCTAAATGCTCACCTCCGCCTCTGGATTGCTGCAGGGCTGCAGGTCCGCTCGCCACTCTGCACGGGAACAAGCCACTTCATGGCTCTGCCCTTCCAGTGCTCACTTCCAGGCGGACTGAGCTCCTGCTGCCCCATAGGCCCACTCCTTTTGGAGGGGTTCCCACTCACTTCCCGAAACGCGCCCTGGTGCTTGCTTAGCACAGATACTAAAATTGAAAAGATACAGAGATTAGGAAGGCCTTTGCTGAAGGATGACATGCAAATTTGTGAAGAGTTCCATATTGGGGGGAAAAAAAACTTGCCTCGGACACCCTGGGCCCTGCAGGTGTGCAGAGACCCGGCCTGGCTAGAACCAAGCCCAGCACTTAGCAGGTTTCCGCACTCGTGGCTCCTCCAAAACTATATCCAATTCACAGAGAAGAACGGAGCACGGGAGGTACCTGCTGGGATCCCG